TGGCCCGGAATTCTGCTAAATTGCAGGGAAGTGGACGTCATCGACGGAGAGACTCGCTCGCGGAGGCCCCCTTCCCTCGCCTGCCCCCCCCCGGCTGACCCCCTTTGTCTTCCCAATGAGATGCCTCAACACTTTTCCACTCCCCAGATTTCCGTTGCTCTCCAGCTACGACCAGGCCTACCCCAATACCCTCCTCATGACTCCTGCCGTTTCTGATGTCACTAAAATTACACCACCACTTTTAATAACCCCATTATTCATCTCAAACTGCTATCTTACGTACAATTTTTATAATAGCTGTAAAGCACCTTGGAAATGGCGCAATATAAATTTCAATAAGATATCTTGAAAGCTGATTGCATTTGTTGAATTATGTGCCTTGTAATAATCATAGCGTGTACTGGGCGATACCTTTTTTAACCCGAATTCTGAGTTGTCATTGATTTGTTTTATTTGTGTGACAGGACCATCCACAACTTTAAAGCTTTGGCTCAAGTGTTGGGATATCAAAATAATTTACTATTCTGTAATGATTACAATCACTACGTTGTTTCTATTGTGTTGTAAAAAAAAAGATTTTTTTAAAAATGGTAATTGTGGAATGTTAATGTATTCAAATGTTAATTAAATGCGTTTTGTTAATGCATAATTATTGCGCGTAAATTAATGATTGATTGGTATGCATCTTCTTATTTAAAACATAGTGAATTCAATTAAACAATAGATTTTCGCATTAATTACAAGTTATTATTGGTTTTCACGTTGTCGAGGGGTGTGTGTTATCAATCGTGATAATATCAATGATTCTCGCCTTAACATGTACTGATTATAACTTAATAAATGTGTAATTATGTCAGGTCAGGATACAGTTCTCGCAATTGAGAGATATGATGCATGAGTTAAGAAAGAAGCACTCGACCTTAATGTAAGTGTAGTGGGTTCAATTCAGGCACACACTGGAACTTTGGGAGGCAACACTATTTATTCTTAACACAACTCTTAACATAGGGTGGTGACCACCGACCTATCCTCGCTAACACACACCATCACTCGCTAACACTGACGCTCTCATACAACTCGCGTGGCCAAGCCAGGAGGGCTCCTGGTTGGCCACGCTGACTTGAGGCTTGATTCTTCTTCTTCACGAGGCGTCTTCACGAGGCATCTTCATCCCGGACCCGAGCCGCCCCGCACCAGGTGCGGAGCCCGCTTATATCCGCCTCGGCGGGCCTGGGCCACGCCCAGGCCACGCCCACCTTCTCGAATCCTCGAGAAGGCTCAGCCCCTGGCCACGCGACCCCCAAGATCCCCCTGGGGTCCCCCGCCCCCACCTTTATCCGGTCACGTGTCCGGCCGGGTTCATACAGAGTGCCATGGCCTGACACAACCCCCATGGCACTGGCGACAGCCTCCTGGCTCCCCGACCCGGCCGTGACGTCATTCCAATATACCCGACGTAGTGACGTCATGTGCGTACAGGCTCCCAGTAGTGACACTACAAGTCACTACATAAGCAACTTAAATATTAACTTACATTGACAACTGAAGCTACTTATCAGAATAGAACTACAGTACCCATGCAAATATACGTACTCGTAGATCTGTACTAAATGATTATAAAAGCATCAACGATTGTATGATACGATTATGCGATTTTAAAGAAAAGAACCAGGCTCACGATTCAAAACACAGTGTTTATGCGAGCATACGTTTCTTAAAATGTTTACCAAATAGTTTGAAAATCATCAACTATCGAATTTCAAGATTATGCAAGTAAAATAAATCTCATTAATATTTCAAAAAACAATATTCATATAGAAATCCGTGACGTGGAGTGGATGTGTGTCAGGGTGGCAATCATGAGCAAGGTTAACCCGTTATGATTTGTAGTGTGGTGTGAGTTGGTTCACGTGTGTTTTTCGTATGAGGTGGCGTCACCAACTGTAAGCAGTATGCTCATATGATGGGTGCATGTGATAGCGGGTGTTCATCTTTTGTTTTCACTGTACCCGAAAATACTTGCAGTCCCACAAGGGAGTGTTGATCGGTAGGCTTGGTCCACTGCGAGAGTGTGCTGCGACCACGCTGCTTGCTGTCTATACTCAGGGGCAAGGTAAGGTAAAGGGTAAAAATAATGAGCCTACCTTTACCCTACCTTTACCATACCACAATACAATCACTCTACCCTACCTTTTACCCTTTAGCAGGTAAGGTATAAGGTAAAAAGCAATGAGCCTACCTTTACCCTACCTTTTACCTTTACCCCGTACAAATTACCCGATTACAGGGTAATTACTGGGGTACTACACATGAAAAAGGTTTATAATGGTAAATGCTAGGTAGAGCGCTTTATACATATATAATACTCTCGATTCCAATTTTACACGCTTTCTTTGAACTCACTCTGTCTGTTGTTGTTGTTGTCGTTGTGGTATCCTCAAATCTTGTAACTCAATTTTAACCCACTTTCCAATGTGGTATCGACTGCAAACTTGGTATACTTATGTCATACTGATGATAACACTATATTCTATCATGAAAAAATGTGTTTTTAAACATTATTTTTTATATGTTATGTTTCGGCTTGGGTCTAATTGTCCACGGTCAACTGACGTTGGCTGTAATTGGCCACGGTCTCTTATGTGAATGCAAGCTGCGGGGCCACGGACTGCGCCACAGAGCTTTTAGCGGTAAACAAGGTACCGTATTTACCGGGTAATACTTCGCGCTACCTTTACCCTACCGGGTAATTCTTCCGAGCGACCTTTACCCTACCCTTTACCTTACCCCTTGGCATGTCGACACATTTACCCTTTACCTTTTACCCGGTAAAAAGGGTAAATTACCTTACCTTGCCGAGGCCTACTTGGTCCACAGCTGAAGTGCGCTCGCGGCTCTCGAGTCCGCATGCTGCCAGTCAGCCGTTAGCTGCTGCGCCATACGCTCGTAGGTTGTATGCACTCCAGGCTCGATCTGCATCTGGAGTACACTGCTGCCCTCGAACCAGCACATGCCAGTCAGTCGTCAGCTCTGCCATGTGTTTGCAGGTTGTTTGTACGCCAGGTTCGATCTGTAGCTGGAGCATGCTGCGGCCACGCTGGCCCAGCACGCTTCGATTCTTTTATCAGCCTTAGGAGTGGCTTGGTTCGCGAGCACCCTTGGTTGCTCCCTCCAGGAGGTCTCACGCTAAACAGCAGCCTGCACGTGACAATGCTTACACACTCCCAGCCTCTTCACATGTCATCCAATGTCAGTCAGTGGTTAGCTCAACCACCAACAGAACTTCCCAGCCTGTAGCTTGGGCAGTATTTCTGTCGACGCACTCAATACTGGCGTGTACCTCAAATCTCAACATGGGGAAGTTGCTTTGTGCCACCAAGGGCGTTTTGCCAACAATTCCCTTCCACCTCTCAGCTTCCAACAGTATTATATCGATAACTCTTTCACACCACAATAGCGCGACGAAGAGCTGCATAAGACACCTTGCCACGAATGGGCGCTTATCCGAAATTTTCCTCAACCACGTAACTTTATCGCAACACTACATTTCGAAGTCCTCGACTCTGCAAGACTTAACACCAAAATGAGAAATACAAAAGCAAAACTTTCAGGGATACTTAGAGTCTTCCTTAGTAAGAACTCAACTTTTTAGCTAGAAATGAATTATATATGAATTATATAACGGAAGTCAAAATTAAACATTCATATATTCTAAAACAATGTAGGTCGTCTACCTTCATTATGAGTTGTCTCTAAATTGCCTGAATCATTTCAGAGAATTGAATTAGTTTAGAGCATAAACTACATTTGCTACAGCATACTTTATACATTCCTACTATGTCGGATGTAAAGTTGACTAATAGTGTAAGAACATCATCTACTTCTAACGGTAAACTGTTAAGTTCACATATTTACCAACCAACCTTCATTGTTATTTGAAAATGTTAGAATATATTGGTCTGTACATGGCTGCAAAGGTTGTTACGTTGTTTTTAAATTGGCAAATCTACTCAAATATGGTTATAACATGCATTGCGCAGTGTGCAGAGCCACCTCTGTTTCATTAGCACTAGTATTGGCCACACGACTGCAGTAGCCAGCATGTTGTTTTTGAATGAGTCATCTCGAAAGAGTTAAAAGGTCCAATGACTATTCATACCTGAAGCACAGCAAAGCAAAAAAACAAGACAATAAAAACGTGACGAACAATTAGAAAGTCGAGTAGTAGTAGGTTTTTACCCTTTAAACTGGTACAGAAACTGACACCTTTATACAAGGCATCATGCTTGCAATAACCACAACACAAGCAGTCAAAATGCAAACAAAAATAAACAACTCTGATGATGATAATGATATGCACTGTCCTTGAAGTTGATTGGTCCACACCCGAGACAGCCTTTCTTAGAGCCTAGTCTCTATTGGTGTTGGACCAGATGACGCCAAAAGGCGTACAACTCAAAGACAGCGCACTATCAGAGTATTGAGAGCTCGGGGTAGGCATTTACACTATGATACCTCCTTTACCAGTGGCAAAATATAGTAGTAGGTTTTTACCCTTTAAACTGGTACAGAAACTGACACCTTTATACAAGGCATCATGTTTGCAATAACCATAATACAAGCAGTCAAAATGCAAAGGTGTCAGTTTCTGTACCAGTTTAAAGGGTAAAAACCTACTACTATATTTTGCCACTGGTAAAGGAGGTCTCAGTGTAAATTAGAAAGTCGTTGGATTATCCAATCGACTTCATGAGTTCGGGGAGAATTGTGGCACAGTGGTTAATGCACTGCACTGTGAACGTGACGACCGGCCTTTGATTGTGAACTATTACTCATATCAGTGGGGCAAGTGATATCTGAACTGGTCAGACCCTTCCCTACATCAACAGTAATTGACTGAGTGGTGATTTATAGCTAACAGCAGTGCACTGAGATTACAGATTTTTTTTTTACGATGCGCCTTTGAGCAGTCTAAAGTGCAAAAATACAGTGGACTGGCCAAACGGTTGTCACTTTAATGAAATCCAGACACAGTACCTTGCAAGTTGGGCACCATATGCGTTGAAACTACTGCATATGACAGAGGTAAGGGACATTGGCGAGGCGTGGAGGTACCAGTGGCTGCCTTTTGCGAGTGCGAGCAGAACTTGTGTGTTACCATACGTTACCTCGTTGATCAGTGCAAGTTAGTGGAATTACCTACCTGATGGAAAATGGGTAATATTATTATAGCGGGGCGAGTCTATCCATGACAATCACTGTTGTAGCCCCCACAAAGTTGTAAATACTTTATCGACACCAGGGGAAAATTAGTCGAGTCAACCTCCAGCAAGGATATGAACTCGCAACATTCTAAATTGTGTGCCGCACAATTAGACTTTTACTCAAATCTAGAATTAGACTTTTACCTGCTATAATAGTTCTGAGTATTGTAATTACTATAATACCAGTTTCTATATCAAATACAAAACTACAATAATGCATTAATAAAACGAATAACTGTTTAACACGTAGGCTTTCGCAACCAATATCCATAAGAGGTTTTTTGGTTAGATCACGTAAGTGTGTCGTTAAAACCCGCCACCACCCGACACAGCCAACTAGTAAGGGTTGTCACGTCAACAGAACATGCAAATTCGTCACAAGCTCAGCACACCGGTGTGTTGGAGAGCCACGCCACAACATTTACAATCTGAGTACGACGTTTCGCCAGTAATTACAACTAGCTTCATCAGGCGACATCCAAATTTGTGGAGGAGTTTAACTGTTTCGTTCCTTATATAGAGGCGATGATGTGGTGACCACTCTTCTGTGCTCTTGCAAATGTGGAGGGGGGGGGGATTAATGAGGCAACGCACATTATGCATCTACATTATGCGAACCCTTTTAACTAGTCCTTCCTGTCTATTGTGTTAGGGATTACCAACGATAATCACTATTGAAGTACACTGCCCTTTGTAGGCATGCATTTAAATAATTTATTATTTTATGATTCGCTTCCACGCAGCACTAAGGCGGTAGCTATCCGAAAGGTTAAAGTTATTTTTATTTGATAATAGGTTTTTTCCTTTTTTTCTGGCGACAAAACAGGTGTTAAGATTTTTAAACACCAAACTGTCTGCATTAACCACAATGCTTGTGGTCAGAAAGCAAACAAAAAACACTCTAATAATATATGTATTGTCCTTGAATTTGATTGGTCCACATCAGAGACAGCTTTCTTTCGAGCCTCGTCTCAAACGGTGTTAGACCAGAGGACGCCAAAAGGCATACTATTATCAGAGTATGTTTTTTTTGTATTCTGGCCACAAGCATTGTGGCTAATGCAGATATGATTCATCGTAAAAGGTTTCAGTTTGGTGTTTTAACATCTTAACACCTGTTTTCTTGCCAGAAAAAAAATAGAAAAACATATTATCATATTTTGGTACTGGCAAAGGATACCCCATGATGTAGATTATTTTCATTTCTTTAAATTTCGATAGATTATCTCATTAGTCTTGGCCAGTAGTAGCTAGTTTTGCACAAACCTTCAACATTATAAAAGTCAATTGAGTGTCCGTGTTGGCACGCATATTCTGCTACTGCTGACAGTTGTATTTGGGATAATGTAATATTTATCTAATGTTCTTTCAGTCTCGTGCTAAACAATCGTCTTCTTTGCCCAACATAACATTTACCACACGTGCAGTTAATCCTGTACACGCCTTCTGTTGATAGCTTCGGTAATACATCTTTTGTAGCAGATATTAATTTCTGTATTTTATGTACTGTGCCAAATCTGCCTCGGATGTTTTCTTTTTCCAAATATCTGGCTAGTGTGTCAGTTACTCCCACAATGTACGGTATAATAATAGTTTTTCACCCTTTTAACTGGCAACAAAACGGACACCTTTATACAAGGGATCATGTTTGCATTAACCACAACACTTGCGGTCAAAATGCAAACAAAAAGACAACTCTGGTAATGAATGCACTGTCCTTGAAATTGATTGGTCCACACCCGAGACAGCTTTTCTTAGATCCTTGTCTCACTTGGTGTATTAATGTGTCAGTATTGTTGCCAGTTAAACGGGTCAAAAACTATTACTATATCTTGCTACCGGCAAAGGAGGTCTCATGATGTACGGTATTTTGATCGTTTTAATTACTTGGGCAATTTCAATGCTCTTGTTATTTGATTTGGTTTTGGCATTCAATGCCCTGTTGATTTGTGCATCATTGTAACCGTTCATTTGCAGCGCTTCTTTAACATGTTGAATTTCATTTCTCAGACTGTCACCATCTGACACTTTCTTAGCTCGAGGAATGAGCGTCTTGATAAGAGAAGATTTCTGTGCGGGGTGATGGTGTGACTGCATTCAGATAGGTATCAGTATCCGTTTTCTTTCCGTAAACAGGCTTGAAGTTATTGCTTTTGTTTCAAAATCTTCCATGTACAAATTCGATATCACAGGAGTCAAAGGAGAGCCCATTGCTGCTCCTTACTTTTGTTTATATGAGTCACCTTGCCACAAGAAGTGTTCTTTAGACAGTGTTCAGCTAGTCTTGGGATATCTTTGGCTAAACCTTAGTTCGTTACCAGAGTGTCGAGTAATTTAATTGACTCGTTGACCGGAACCCTAGTGAACAGAGAGGTCACATCAAAACTTACGAGCATATCATTAGGGTTAAGCTTAATATCTTTAATTATATTAACGAGATGTTCAGAGTTTTTGATTAACGAAGAGGTCCTACCTATATAGGGCTGTATTGGTTTTGTTACGTATTGTGCTAATTTTTATGTGGCAGAGCCTATTGTATTAACTATGGGTCTTATTGGTGCATCAGGTTTGTGAATCAAAACCACCAAGACTATATAGGCTTCCAAAAATTAACGAACTTGATGTCACATTAAGACCTAACGAATAATTTGAAGTTGGAATTAATATGTAAATGTACATTTTACGCCAAGAAAAAAATACTTTGCCCCATGTGAGGATCGGACTCACGACCTTCAGATTATGAGACTGACGCGCTACCTACTGCGCTTATGAGGCTGATAATTTATAAGTTTTGTTCTAATTGGAATATCTCAAATATTGGCATTCAATTGGAAGGTATAAAGAGGCACAACAAACACGTTCCTTCGGAGTGGGCTGGGAGGAACTTGGTTGGACAGCACATTCCTGCGATCCGTGTCACGCGGCGCAAGCTGCGTGGGCGGTGCGTCACGTGGTGCTGAGCCCTCCCGAAGCACTCTATGAATTACAAATCGAGGGCGTGGCTATGCACGACAGACAAATAATCCCTGGTGGGCAGTGTGGAACTGTTGTTCCTACCTGTAAAACTATTCCCTTTTTTGTTAAACCGTAACACAGTTTTATAACTGACTGTATGGACATTTAAATATTTAAATACAGTATATTGCGTTCCGTGCGACTTATGGACAGGTCTCAGGAACGGAACCAGTTTGTTAGTTGGGGACTGCCCGTATCTAATCAGAGACTGGCCTGTCAGTTTATTGTTTTAAGGCCCCATGTGATAAATGCAATGTTCAGGAAATCATATAATAATACCACTTGGCATGTGTGTGAATGTGTGTGCAGAACACTGTCCTCATCAAAAATCAAGACAAGTACTCATCTTACTACATCACACAACCTGCAGTACAGTATGGGCCAACTTCTGGACACAACTGCTGCTGCTCAGGAATGGAGCTCTTTCTTGGGGCACCAGGCACTGATCAGCCTGGCCATATTTTGCATAATTTTCCTGGTTCTTCGGGCTATACTCCAGGAGGTAAAGGCAACTAAACGCCCATTGGACTTTCCTCCTGGCCCAAAAGTGATACCATTTTTAGGGAATGTGCCTCTGTTTAAGAAACCCGATGTTGCCATAGAGGAAGTTACGAAACAGTATGGAGAGGTGTGCAGCGTAATGGTGGGCAAGATTTCCATGGTGTTTGTGAGTGGCTACCAGGCAGTAAAAGAGGTCCTAGTGCATCAAGGGCATGAGTTTGCAGACCGGCCAAACATCCCCCTCAACAAAAAAGTCAACGGAGGCCTAGGCATTATTTTTGCTCCATATGGAAAATATTGGATGCAACATCGTAGGTTCACTCTGTCAACATTGCGGAATTTTGGACTTGGTAAGTCATCCATAGAACAAACCATTCAGGCAGAGGTTGGCTTCTTAATTGAGGCATTTAAACAGAAAGGATCGGCATTTGACCCTCACTATAACTTAAACAGTGCTGTGGGAAACATAATTTGTTCCATGGTGAAAGGGAAACGGTATGAATACAGTGATAAGCAGTTCCATGATTTTTTGCACCTCATTGAAAACAATCTTCAGCTCCAATCAGGGCTGCTGGGAACTTTATGCAACTTCTTTCCCTTCTTGATGGATTTTCCTGGACCGCAGCAGAGAATATTCACAAACATGGCAAAATCTAAACAGTTTATTCGTGATATAATATCTGAACGCCATGCAACAAGAGATCCCCTCAAGCCAATGTGCCTGATTGACACCTACTTGTCTCAATTGGAGAAAGAGGACAATCCCAACAGCAGCTTCTCAGAACAGAGTCTCATCATGTTGACGTTGGACCTTTTCACTGCTGGCGCAGAGACGACCTCCACCACATTACGCTGGGGCCTTCTCTACATGATGATGCACCCTGAAATACAAGCCCAGTGCCATGATGAGATTGACAAGATTGTGGGATCAGATCGACTACCATGCATGGAGGACAGACACAGTCTGCCCTACCTGGATGCTGTGATCCATGAGATACAGCGCTTCAGTAACATTGTTCCATTCTCGGCCCCGCATGCAACCACCACAGACGTCAAGTTACGCCAGTACTCGATTCCAAAAGGGACGATCATAATGGTGAATATGAAATCGGTTCTGAGTGATGAAAATCATTGGAAAACCCCATACGAATTCAGTCCAGAAAACTTCCTTGATGAGGATGGCAAGTTTGTAAAGTCAGATGCCTTCCTGCCCTTCTCTGCTGGTCCCCGTGTCTGCCTGGGGGAAAATTTAGCAAAAATGGAGCTCTTCCTTTTCTTTGCATCTCTTTTGCAGCATTTTGAGTTTATCTGGCCTGATCTGGTCTCTCCACCAACCCTGGATTATATATTGCAGATCACCAAGGCTCCAAAATCTTACAAATTGGGGCTTCATCTCCGCAATTGAACATAGTTTAAAGAGTGCTATAGTGTGTGCTGGTTTGAGTCTATAATGTCCAAGCACACATGCACGCATTGGAAATAGGTTATGTTAAAAAAAAATACATCACGATAGGTGAAAGAAATGGTATAAATCTGTTGTACAACAATGAGTGAATCAATTTAACTTTTTCTAGTAAATCGTTTAATCATGTTACGTTAGTTTATAGATAGAGATGATAGTTTTCTACAAACATCTTCCATTACTTCAGCGAATTTGCCCAAAAATAGTTAACCTTCATTTCATACATTCTTTCACAAGTCACCCGGGGCCCGAGTACATAAATGTAGAAATAGATAATGAGACAATGCTCCCCTGTTCATAGTCTATTTATAGGTGGCAGTGAAATTTCTGGTGACAATTACATTGTGACTTTTTTCAACCATTTTATACATGCAGTAAATGCATTAGAAAACATATATAGACACCATTACAATAGAAACAACTAACGACTCAGCTGTCTTCATAGGCTTGGATAAGGCATTGATACAATTGATCACCAAATCCTGTAAACCAAGTTAGTGATATTGGACTTATTTAAGTAGCAGTAGGTTGGTGTCTAAATTACTTTGATAGTAGAAAACAATGCGTAACATTGGTCAATCCTTCCTCTGGGTTTAAAAAACAAACACATGCCAAACAGCCACTCAATTACAACCACAGAAAACAACCGCTCAAATAACCACGACTATAAACAACTATTACCACTAAAACACATCAACAAATGCACATGACAACCACAAAATAACGCAAAAATAAATCCACAATCAAATCCTCAAACACAAGTATACATTCTAGATTTGAAGCTTTCGTGACTGCAAGGATTCTTACTCTTAGTTCTTTCGGTAAAGTCACGTAGATAAAAAATGAAATTAAAATTAATAAAAATAAAACAATAAAAATCACGACGTTTCGGAAGCAACACAAGTCTCCGTCATCAGGAGGGACCGTCACAGCCAGATTTGCTGCATTTTTTACCTACGTGACTTTACCGAAAGAACTAAGAGTACAAGTATACATGTCATTGTTATTGCCTTATACAAAATGCAACACTGGTGTTTATTCGTATCTTACATACTTGTCTCAAACTATTTGGTAATACCGTGTGAGCAATGATGCACAGGCACAAATAAGAAAATAACTCAATATGATACTGGCAAAAACATTTTGGATAGTGGCTAAAAGGTCCCATAGAGAAACAAAAATCACATCGTTAATAATTCTGCCTAACCGGAAACATTATAAACGATGTTTTAGGCAATGGGTGTTCTTAATATCAGATATTATAGAGAGGGAAGATAAATAAAGAGCATAAGAGTTGGAGACTGGACTTTACTTATAATAATTACATTGATAAATGTATTCCTGATGAACAGTATTTAAATTTGCATATGAAGAGTGACCTTTATAAAAAAAAATCTCATCAGGCTCCATAGTATAAAGTGGTCTAACTCTTAACCATACAAAATTACGTCGAACTTTATTTTCCAAGCAATCAGTATAAGTTTCCCATTACATCTATCTGATTTGTTCATGCTGGAACCGCCCTTGTATTCTGATACGCAACAACTGTAATGTTATTTTTTAATATAAATTTCTTTACCTCCTTAGATAGTTCGCAAGAGCCATGCATGGCTAGTTGCCCTCCAGTAACAAATAGTGTCCACACTTCCCCACGTAAGAGGCAATTCTGAAGATCATTGTGGGGTATCACCTCCCTATGTTCTCGTTGACGTGATCCTTATATCCCTTCCACTTCAAACCAAATGTATTTATTATGCCATCGAATGTATCAAACGGTATAAAAACTCAATACAGGTAGTCCCCGACTTACGATGGCCCGACTTACGATATTTCGATCATACGATGGCGATAGCGATACGACAAAATTGTTAAATATTTTTCATTTCACGCGGCAGGCAAACGCAGCAGTGTACGAGGTACGATACTGTACGTTGGGACGCTGCCGGGATGTACGCATGTTAAAAGGTTTGATAGCAGATAGGATTGTTTCCTGAAAAAAACTTTCTATTAAATTGCGGTTCATATAGGTAGGCTAAGAATTTACCCTGTTTTTTTACTTTACATTTTACTGTGCAATACAGTATTGTAATTAATAAATACATACAGTACATAGTTTATACAGTACGGTACTGTAAATTGCTCTGTTTTGCTAAATTATCACCATTCTTTAAGACTCCTGGGTAGACTAGGCCATCTTCGACTTACGATATTTTTGACTTACGATCGAGTCGTAACGCATCTCCATCGTAACTCGGGGACTACCTGTATTTCAAGAGTCGCAATAACGGCATGAAGCAGTCCTTAAAGAGCCGCATCCGGCTAAAGAGCCACAGGTTGCCAACCTCTGAACTGGTATATTGCTGCAGTCTCATGAGTGCAGTAAGTACTCCATTTTGACTTAAGACTTTCGTGAATGCAGGATTTCATATTCCATTGTTCTTTCGGTAAAGTCACGTAGATAGAAAAAATAACAATAAAATAATATTCACTTAATTGTTTTTATTTTATTGTTATTTTTTATACGTGACTTTACTGAAAGAACCATAGAATGTGCAGTAAGTACTGTCAGTCTCAAACTGAAGGTTGTTAGTTAAATCCCTAGTTTACTCTTAAAAAGCCAGTATAAACGAACAAGATTAACCTAATGGCAGAATTTGTTTTGATTGCTCCAAAGAAAAGAATACATCACTGTAGGTGTCTTCATTGGGATAATTTATGATAAAGTCACGATTACTATAATGAATAGAGAAACCCAACATGTTTTGCATTAGTTGATTAACAGTAGAAACCAACTTACATTTTGTAGTAGAATATATGTGAGTGTTTGGTAGAATTTTTTTAGCTTGCAGGATTGATATCGATCGATGTTTATTTTCCCAACAAAATGCCATGGCACTGTTATGGAAATAAAACATTTAGTGTAAAGTAGGATTAAATATGAATTGCCCCAATCATATTAGGCATTTTTAAACTCATTGCAATGGTGATGAGGAAAATTCGAAATTAATTGTTCATTGCTATTTGAGAATATATTTGATTAAGGAAACAATACCAGAGACGGGAGTCTAACTTGACGTGATAGCTACTTCACAATGAAAACTCGAGGTTAGCTCAGATCTTGGAATGTGCCGGATATGCTCTCTACTCCGAGTGGCAATTATAGTGACATACTTTGCCCGCATTAGGCAGAGAATGCGAGCTAAGAAATACGCAAACTTTATTTCTGAAAAAGGAAGACATTGATGGCTGAGATGTGGAGGTCCAATTACATTTTCAGGATCTTCATGGCCTCACAAGAGTTTGTTATACGAGTGGGTTGCATTCTGAGCAAGAGACCAGATGGAGTGGAGTGGCCCAAAATGCTAGAAGAAGCCCAGAGGTGGGCCAGAGAGCCAGGGGCCCAGAATGAGCAGAGCATGGCAGATGAGGGTCAGATCCAAGAAGATCCAGAGGAGCCAGGGGCAACCGTGATGTTCACATTAGCTGGGTAGCTTGCGCACCCGTGCTTGTAAGGCTGACCTTGATCGAAGCCGTACATTGCACGAGAGGTATCGTGATAAAGTTGTGAAGGAATTGCGGTGAAGCAGTGGAGAAGCTCAAAGCTAATTGTCAGGATTCCAGTTTTTAAAGAGTATAGAGACGATACATACGAAAAGTGAGATTAAGGAGACTCAAAGTTAGTGCTGCAGAAGAAATCTGAGGAAACAGAGAAGACATTTGCCTACTGAAAAAGGAAACACATTTGAGGTGGATAGAGGTTAACACGAAACCATATTGTGCTAGGTCACAAACTAAAGAAAGTGACTGTAAAACTACAAGTATGTGAATAATTATCACGGTGAAGTCATGTATGTACGTCGGACGTTCAAAGGAGGCCAACATAATCGTTCTACACATCGTCAAGACTCAAGACCCAACCACACCCGGCCAGTCACCAGCTGCATCAACCACCTGGCTGCCATGCCGTCATCCATAAAGCTGCCGTCTTTGCATGTCAGGAGACATTGTGTGCGAACGGCATTTAAACAAAAACGTATTTTACTCATCAATTAACTTCAGTCACCAGTCAGAAGCTTCCTACACTTCTGCCGTGTCGCCTCAACTGTGGTGTACGAGGCCATCTGCTACAGACTGTACATTGAAATAAATACGAATTCACAATTATCACACCCTGACATACTTAACCAATCATCAGGATTTCATTATCACATATTATATTGACATTCAGCGGAACGTAGAAACTAACGAGTTCGTGGCGCCAATGATATTCTGAATTTACTATACACCAACAACATTAAGTGTGCTTCATACTGAGAAAGATGGCGGCAGTTGGCAGCAACAGTCATCTGCTCAATCCCTAATTTCCCTCCTCCATCCCTTTACCTCCCCTACCTGAACCTCCTTGTCTCTTCCCCTGCCGTCTTCTCGTCCACCACCACTATATTTTAGGCATACAATTTCTTCATTATTTTGGTGATGTCCGTGTTTTGGTTTGTTTGGAGGCACCGCTCTCGTACCTGCTGCCTGCTCCTGCGCCAACTGACGCATCCGTTTGGTAGCCCGGGTTATTCACTGTGGTGCAGCATCGCTCGCGCTGCACGACTTACCCGTTATCCCGTGCGACCGGTGGGTCGCTTCGTCACCCACATCCGGTGGCTCCTTCGGTGGGCCATGCAACCACCGGGGGGGGCTTTGGCTGCCCGAGGTCAACGGGGTTTTGTGCGGTCCCCGAGATGGAAGGGACCTGCAGCCGGGATCTTTCCGGGGGAGTCTTTCACCGTGTCGGCGTGCGGAGCATGGTTGGGAGCACTCCGCGATCTTCCTCGTTGCGAGCTTGGCCCGGAATTCTGCTAAATCGCAGGGAAGTGGACGTCATCGACGGAGAGACTCGCTCGCGGAGGCCCCCTTTCCTCGCCTGCCCCGACCCCCTTTGTCTTCCCAATGAAATGCCTCAACACTTTTCCACCCCCCAGATTTCCGTTGCTCTCCAGCTACGACCAGGCCTACCCCAATACCCTCCTTATGACTCCTGCCGGTTCTGATGTCACTAAAATTACACCACCACTTTTAATAACCCCATTCTTCATCTCAAACTGCTATCTTACGTACAATTTTATAATAGCTGTAAAGCACCTTGGAAATGGCGCAATATATATTTCAATAAGATATCTTGAAAGCTGATTGCATTTGTTGAATTATGTGCCTTGTAATAATCATAGCGTGTACTGGGTGATACCTTTATTAACCCGAATTCTGAGTTAAGTCATTGGTTTGTTTTAGTTGTGTAACATGACCATCCACAACTTTAAAGCTTTGGCTCAAGTGTTCGGATATCAAAATAATTTACTATTCTGTAATGATCACAATCGCTATGTTGTTTCTATTGTGTTGTAAAAAATATGAAAATGTTAAAATGGTAATTGTGGAATGTTAATGTATTCAAATGTTGATTAAATGCGTTTTGTTAATGCATAATTATTGCGCGTAAATTAATCATTGATTGGTATGCATCTTCTTATTAAAAAAAATAGTGAATTCAATTAAACAATAGATTTTCGCATTAATGACAAGTTATTATTGTTTTTCATGTTGTCTAGGGGTGTGTGTTATCAATCGTGATAATATCAATGATTCTCGCTTTAACATTTACTGATTATAACTTAATCAATGTGTAATTATGTCAGGTCAGGATACAGTTCTCGCAATTGAGAGATATGATGCATGAGTTAAGAAAGAAGCACTCGATCTTTCTTAATGTAAGTGTAGTGGGTTCAATTCAGGCGCACACTGGAACTTTGGGAGGCAACACTATGTATTCTTAACACAACTCTTAACATAGGGTGGTGACCACCGACCTATCCTCGCTAACACACACCATCACTCGCTAACACTGATGCTCTCATACGACTCGCGTGGCCAAGCCAGGAGGGCTCCTGGTTGGCCACGCTGACTTGAGGCTTGATTCTTCTTCTTCTTCACGAGGTGTCTTCACGAGGCATCTACATCCCAGACCCGAGCCGCCCCGCACCAGGAGCGGAGCCCACTTATATCCGCCTCGGCGGACCTGGGCCACGCCCAGGCCACGCCCACCTTCTCGAATCCTCGAGAAGGCTCAGCCCCTGGCCACGCGACCCCCAAGATCCCCCTGGGGTCTCCGGCCCCCACCTTTATCCGGTCACGTGTCTGGCCGGGTTCATACAGAGTGCCATGGCCAGACACAACCCCCGTGGCACTGGCGACAGCCTCCCGGCTCCCCGACCCGGCCGTCATTCCAATATACCCGACGTAGTGACGTCATGTGTGTACAGGCTCACAGTAGTGACACTACAAGTCACTACATAAGCAACTTTAATATTAACTTACATTGACAACTGAAACTACTTATCAGAATAGAACTACAGTACCCATGCAAATATACGTACTCGTAGATCTGTACTAAATGATTATAAAAGCATCAACGATCGTATGATAAGATTATGCGATTTTAAAGAAAAGAACCAGGCTCACGATTCAAAACACAGTGTTTATGCGAGCATACGTGTTCATAAAATGTTTACCAAATAGTTTGAAAATCATCAACTATCGAATTTCAAGATTATGGAAGTAAAATAAATCTCATTAATATTTCAAAAAACAATATTCATATAGAAATCCGTGACGTGGAGTGGATGTGTGTCAGGGTGGCAATCATGAGCAAGTGTGGGGGCCGCTGGCCCCCGGGGTCCCTCCCGCCTGCATCCCCTATTCCGTTTAGGTTACCCCACCTCCCTATTACCCGCTACGGTTTCGCCGGCATTCGAACGCGACGCCCCCACTGTTACAGTCTCGCGCCGCGCTCCCACGCTGCGAGCATACACGCGCACAGCATCATCAATCAAACGCCACACTCCCCCTCTTTACACCGCTACGTACAGCTCTCGTATACTGCGAGCGTGTGCCCGCCTATAGCCCTGTGCGGCACGTTACCAATGCGCATCCGTATCCGACACGTAACGAACGTATGAGCACTCCCACACACACGCCGCTCCGCGCACTCCAACTCCACTCACGTTATGATCGCACACCTGTATCGCACCCGGGGTGGACGCACGCACACACACGCAGCTCCCCACGCGACACTCTGCACGACAAGATCACGCGAGACCACGCTTCGCTATTAATGATTTATTATATGCTACCTGCGAATTGATGTCAAATCAGTGAGTCGACGAGGCTGGCCTACGCTGATACCTCTATACCTATTCCCGATTTATCTGCTATGATTCTAATTCACCTTCTTACTCACTGTTAAGTGTCCACGGCGGTCCGCTGATCCTTGTGCTAACCGCGTGCCTCGGTGCGTCACACGGACGTCCGGGTCGCTGGCTGCAGCTGCGTCTGGTCCCCTGGCGCTGGAGTAAGAGAGCGATTTCCCCTCTGCGCTCCTCTATTTATCCTCCCTACCTCAAAGGGGATGCTGCGCTGAACAATGGGCTCGTGCACCCCAAGCCCGCGCACGGCTGTTCCCGGGCGCTGTTGATATGTTAATCGGTGAACGACGTTGGCGGCGTACATCCTAATTACTCCCTTACCCTTCCTAACAATGGGGCCTGTGCGCTCAAGCGCAATTATCCCAACCCTCCATGACTATGCGCAACAGCCCCTGTGATCCCGCTATTCATGCTGTCCCGTGCCTCCCCTGCTTGCCCCGTCGACTCGTGGGGGTGTGTGTGGGGGGAAAATGCGCCTCAACCGCGGTGGCCGAATGCCCCACGCCGCGACCACACCATATTAAGGCCGGCCGCGGCGCCGCGGTGTCACGTAGCACGGGGGGGGTCATCCAATTCCCTGATCGCCGGAAACCGTGAGAATTAATCCCGATAAGGGTCTCTCGGATAAAAACCGGTCGATCAGGTGACCTTCCCTTCCAGCTCTATGGGGGGGGGGGAATGCGTGCGGGTGTGTGCTTATGTGGGGCGGGTGATGGGGGGCAGTGCGGTGGGGGAAGCCGGGCAGCTCCCTGGTTCGGCAGAGCGGCCCCGTCGTTGTGGCACCACACAAGGTTAACCCGTTATGATGTGTAGTGTGGTGTGAGTTGGTTCACTTGTGTTTTTCGTATAAGGTGGCGTCACCAACTGTAAGCAGTATGCTCACATGATGGGTGCATGTGATAGTGGGTGTTCATCTTTTGTTTTCACTGTACCCGAAAATATTGTTTCTTTGCTCTGTATTTGTGCTCAGGTGGGCAGCGGGTTTATGGTGTTTTGCCATGGGTCCTCCCTTTCGCATCGTGTTCTGCTCTATTCATTGGAGATGGCTGATGCCAGACCCGACCCGTGAATATCTCTCAGAAAATATTCTGGTTCACTCCGTGCCCAAGCAATGGTTAGTATTTATTGATTACCTCCTCTGCCATTAACCTGTTCTCAAACTTCTAATTTGAATGGTAATTAGTATGCCCCTCATGGTTCTCCTCAACTCTCAGAATACAATTAATACACATATGTCTACAAGGAGCTATGACATTCAAAACAGACAATATCAAACTACAGATGATATAGTCACTCGGGCGCGTAGCACTGTTTACCGGTAGAGAGCGGGATCGTGGGTGTAGTAGCCCAGGTCTACCAGCAGGGCAGGTGAAGTGTGCCACTCGAGCGCGTAGTGCCAGTTGCTGGCAGAAAAGGATAATTATTTGATTAAACGTATGTTATGCACAAAAAGCGGATAAATTCCTAACGCATGATTTGAATTTGGAATGATCGAAATGTTAATTTTATGCCAAAAATAAGCTAGCTTTGCGAAAAGTGAGGATCGAACTCACGACCTTCAGATTATGAGACTGACGTGCTACCTACTGCGCTAATGAGGCTGATATTTTATCATTTTTATTCAAATTGGAGTATCTCAAATATTGGGATATCAATTGGAAGGTATAAAGAGGCACAACAATAATAGGATAAGTAATTAATGAAACGTATGTTATGCAAATAAGCGGATCAATTCCACACTCATCATTTTAATTAGGAAATATTATCTAAATGTTAATTGTATGCCAAAAATAAACTAACTTTGACCCCATGTGAGGATCGAACGTCACGACATTCAGATCATGAGATTGACGCGCCAAACTGTGCTCATGACGCTGAAACTATGGCACTACCGACTGCTCTAATGAGGCTGATCTTTGATCAGTTTTGTTCTAATTTCGATTTCTCAAAAATTGGGATTCAATTGGAAGGTATAAAGAGGCACAACAATAAGAGGATAAGTAATTGATGAAACGTATGTTATGCACAAAAAGCGGATCAATTCCAAACGCATCATTTGAATTTGGAATTATTATCTAAATGTTAATTTAATGCCAAAAATAAACTAACTTTGACCCCATGTGAGGATCGAACTTCACGACATTCAGATCATGAGAATGACGCGCCACACTGTGCTAATGACGCTAATGACGCTGAAACTAAGGCACTACCTACTGCTCTAATGAGTCTGATGTTAGATCAGTTTTATTCTAATTGGGATATGTCAAATATTGGGATTCAATTGGAAGGTATAAAGAGGCACAACAATAAGAGGATAGGTAGTTGATGACACGTATTTTATGCACAAAAATCGGATCAATTCCACACACATTATTTGAAGTTGGAATTCATATCTAAATATACATTCTACGCCAAGAAAACAATATTTTGCCCCATGTGAGGATCGAACTCACGACCTTCAGATTATGAGACTGACGTGCTACCTACTGCGCTAATGAGGCTGATATTTTATCATTTTTATTCAAATTGGAGTATCTCAAATATTGGGATATCAATTGGAAGGTATAAAGAGGCACAACAATAATAGGATAAGTAATTGATGAAACGTATGTTATGCAAATAAGCGGATCAATTCCACACTCATCATTTTAATTAGGAAATATTATCTAAATGTTAATTGTATGCCAAAAATAAACTAACTTTGACCCCATGTGAGGATCGAACTTCACGACATTCAGATCATGAGATTGACGCGCCAAACTGTGCTCATGACGCTGAAACTATGGCACTACCGACTGCTCTAATGAGGCTGATGTTTGATCAGTTTTGTTCTAATTTCGATTTCTCAAAAATTGGGATTCAATTGGAAGGTATAAAGAGGCACAACAATAAGAGGATAAGTAATTGATGAAACGTATGTTATGCACAAAAAGCGGATCAATTCCAAACGCATCATTTGAATTTGGAATTATTATCTAAATGTTAATTTAATGCCAAAAATAAACTAATTTGACCCCATGTGAGGATCGAACTTCACGACATTCAGATCATGAGAATGACGCGCCACACTGTGCTAATGACGCTAATGACGCTGAAACTAAGGCACTACCTACTGCTCTAATGAGTCTGATGTTAGATCAGTTTTATTCTAATTGGGATATGTCAAATATTGGGATTCAATTGGAAGGTATAAAGAGGCACAACAATAAGAGGATAGGTAGTTGATGACACGTATTTTATGCACAAAAATCGGATCAATTCCACACACA